ATGCTTGCCATCCAGTGACTAAGGGTTGGTGGAACATGCAGATGTGAAGCCGTCGTGTGCATGAGAATGGTAATCAGGTGCTTATCGAAGGTAACCCTACAAAGCGGGTTTCTAACAGGCCACCCTGTGTGGGGCTACGTGGCTGGCAGGAGAGAGCACCGCAGCGAGATCTGCTGTTGTACTGCACTTCTAAGTTCCCACGTCTATGCTCCCTCACCCTTTACCAACCCACGATAATGAGCTCGGTGAAGTACGCTCAAACATTCCCCCACGACCCGTGAAGTGTGGGGAGTCCCTCATCCAGTAGTGGATTAATAATGGCTGATGATGATTTAGATCAATGTGCGGGCATCTGTGAGGATACGACACAACAATAGAAAGTGGAATGTCGAGTGTTCCAGTGACGCTAGAAAGGGTTTTCTTAAACGAGAGTGAAGGATTCGGAATGAGTTTTGGATTAAAACATTTTCAAATGTTTGTATTTTCAACGGAAAACTCCCAATATTTTTGTGAGATTTTATGATTATTATTTCCGAACAAACGTGACATCGCCGGATGCCCACGTGACACCACCCTTGTCAAGAAAAGCGTGGATGTGACATCACGTAAGTGAAAACGTCGTATTGGGATTCATGGTAACTTTCATCAAACCCATCTTTCCTAAGTAATATTTGACCATGAGCGTCTATTTCCTTTCCACTTCCTGTGACGTTACACATGCGGATAAATCCGAAATACACAATTTTTTTCGGATCATTCAAATGTTCATATCCAGGCCCGATTTTCAGATGCTTACCGACCCATCCAAACCAGAAATGGCGAGCACATCTCGGGGACACACACACGCATATGAATCGTCAACTTTTCGCAAGACACTTCTCAGTCGAAACGCACGTGCGTTGACCTACTTAACCCCGCGCAGCTGGTCACCAAGAACGCCGGTTATGCAACCGCTGTTTACAGGCGCACTTCTTACTCGGCTTAGCTCCAGCATGCTGGCACGGTCGGCGTCCGATCGTACATCGTTTGCTGCCGTGTCTTTTAATCCCGGGCACTACAGACGCAGCGTGCGGGAGACACATTTCACGCCGAGTCGATCCCAGGGAGGTCCTCGCCTAACACGGAGATCATTTGAGATGTTTAGGGGTTTGCTTTTTGCCCTGCGCAGCTTTTGATATAGTCGTAGATTATTCATGAGTCAGATCGTGTACAACAGGACGCTTGTTTTCTCAAGTTGGTTTTATTTATTCATAGCAATTGTTGCAACAAAACTAAGTCGTGAATACGCCTCGAAGCCCATCTGTACATATATACATGAAGTACCTGTTAAAAATAGTAAATGTTGAATGTAGCCTCTGACACGTGTTATATCGGTAAGAGACATGCCAGAGAATACATTGTTCAGGGGCCTATGAGATTCCCTTCTAAGAATATGTTGAAAGAAAATAGATGCTTCTGGTCAAATATTCTTTAGGGAAGAGGGGGTTTTGATGAAAGTTACCACGAGTCCCAACATGACGTTTCTCTAATCCTATCAGCTTAATCCCTCATTTTTGCACGAATTTTTTTTTTGAGCCACGTAAATTTGTTACAATCTAACCAGTGTTTTTGATTTAAAGCTTTCGTGACTGCAGGGTTTCATATATTGTTTAATATTTTTATTATTTTATTGTTTCCCTTCTACGTGACCTTACCGAAAGAACCAAGAATACTAACCAGTGTTGTTGATTTCATATTCTTCAGCTCGCGCTAATGTGGCATCTGAGCGTTTTCTTTTTAAATCAGTAAACAATGCAAACATTAGCAACGGTGATCACTCTTGAGGCAGCTGTATGGAGGGAAAGAAAAATATATAACACCTCATTGCTGCCGGGATGATAAATGTTGATGGGTCTTATTTGTTTTTATCACATGGGGTTAAAAGGAGCACTTGAAATTCTAGTTCTGGAGAGAGACCTTTGGGGGGGGGGTGTATCTCTCTCGCAGCCGTCCCTATATGTAAATGCAGGTTGAGTACAAACAACAGGGGATGGGAGAGAGAGAGAGAGAGAAAAAAAGACGGGGAAGAGCAAAAAGAAATAAATAAACTAAATAAATGAAGGCAAAAAAGCGGGGGCCCTGACAATTTGATTACAATGGTTGTTGCAGCAATCATCGCTGTGATGGCGGTACTTTTGTTTCAGCGCGAGCGAAGAAGAGAAGGCGAAGGCTAAAAGCGCTTATTACTGCTAAGAGCTGGCGCTTTCCTTGCTATCTAAACAGCTGTAATTTGGCGGGAAAAGGGCCCTGACACTCACGGCAGGGCTGATAGCACGGCAGATGATGCTCCCGGAGCGCCAGGGGTGTCAATAAAGTTGCGGCGGATTCGGCGCCGAGTGATGGAAACAAAACACGGCCTTTGCGCGGAAAAAGTCATTAATCAGCCGGGTCGGCTCCTCCGCCACTTCCCAGTTGCCAGCGTGATTGACAGAATCTGCCGCGAGGAGGCGGAGGCGGTGTGGGTTGGAGGGGGGGGAGGTGCAGGGCAGATAACGGCACTGAAAGCGCCGGGCGAGACGGCGCAAAGCCGCGCTGCTGTTTGTCCAAAAAAAAAGGCACCCACAAACCCCCAGGAATGAACCTTTGCACCCCTTTCACACGGTGACCTTCTGACCGGTTCTCTATCCCCCCCCCACCCCGCCAAAGACTTTCAGTTGATATGCTGTGTGACCTATTTGTTGATAGGATTCTCAATTTATCAGATGGCACTGAAAAGTTTACTTTTCAAGCGATAGCATTAATGGTCAACTGGCAAACACTCACCCTGAAAAAGCCAGCAGAGACGCCTCCCAGAGCAGTTGCTCCCAAATCGTCGGACAGTTTACTTCGTCGATAAAAGACAACAGCGCGGACGAGGTATACCCACGTGAATATTGACTAACTTGCGGGTGAGTACGGATGAGGGTGGAGGGTGACGTGGAAGCTGATTATGAGCTTATCGACAATCACACACACACACAAAACCACCAGGATGGTGATGCTGGGATTCATGCCACATCACCACTGACAGCCCTGGCATCCCTCAAACTTGGCATCCATTGTGCATTTCATCACCTGCGCTGGTTGATAACGCTGGAGCAAATTAATATTAGATTGGCAGTAATAATAATGAAATAATCTGATCCAGCCCAATTCTTCAATATTTCTTTGAGTCTTAGCTGCCACCCGTGGGTCGATTCAAATCTTTTTCCTTTTATTCTCCAGAATTCGTGAAATTAAATCTGAATGGTACCTCGATAATACAGAGCCGTTACTAGGTTAAGCTATCAGTCCGAGTCACGGTCTCCAACCCGAATGACATTAGACAAAAGCCCTTGTCTGCAAGGTGGCACTATCACTATTGTCCGAGCAGAGTCAAGCAAATGTGGCGTTTATGCAGTAATTTGCTAGTCCGATCTCAACTGCTTTCACCTTAATTTAACTCAAATGAAGACGCGGGCTGTCTTTTCAAATCTTACAGAGAGTGCGTGCGTGCGTGCGAGCGTGCGGGTGCGTGCCTTCACACAATACCACACGCGCGCGTGCCCATGTGCTCCCACGCTGTGTCCGTACTACAGCTCCACAACTGCTGATTATTCAGGTTGTAACAGCAGTGTTCGAGCCCGTACACACACACACACCTCCCCGCACTCAAGGCAAATTAATGTTTTGGTGTTAGGCTTTAAAAAAAACCCCTCTCCTCCCAACTCTAAACTGATTAGTGAGATGATATTGAATTACAGAAAAAAACACAGAGGCCTTGAGAAAAAAAAATCTCTCTCCAAGGGAGGCCGCGGACGATGTGAAATTATTTGTAATGTGTTATAAGTACCCGGTATGCGTGACGTTTTTTTTCCCTTCTAATTTTCGCTGCCAAAACTTGTCGGTCAGAAGGTATCTAGTGTTTCTGATAAACAGCACGTGTTCATTATAGGTGCAGTCAAGCAAATGTCTGGATAATTAAAGTCACGCATTTAGAAATTCCAATCCAAAACCCTTGCCGTTTCTGTTCCTACAAATATAAAACTGTGTTTTTAACACTCACACACTCACTCGTTCAAGCACAAAGGCACATACCCCCCTGTGTAGCTTACACAAGGATTTAGGGGCAAGTGCTTTCGGTGCGCGCCTATTAAGTTCGGCACGGTGAACGGGGCTGACGGTGTGGCCAGCACCAAGCACGCTCGGCCACCTTTGTCTCCCCAGTGCTGATGTTCACACACTACGTCGAACACTCATTTGAGGCTGAGCCGACTTAGATGAAGCCCAGAACCTCGTTCAGATGTTCTCCACCGATGTTGACCATGAGCCGGAATCGAACGCGGGTATGCTGGGTTCATCGCACAGTGCGCTAACCACGACGCTTCCGCTGACCGAATATCATACATGTTTTACGTCCACACGGCATCGCCACTTATTATAATGTAACACCACGCGCTAGTCCACCTTGACAGCAGTGTGGCTCTGACATCGCCAATTCCGAAACCCTTGCCCGTGATATTGAGACGGACGGGCGACACTCGTGTGACCGCTTCTCGATATTCTTCAAACGGCAGCAGGAGCCGCGTGCGGGAGCGAGCGAGCGAGCGAGCACGGAGCGTCGCGATCCGAATACTTCGTCGCGTCACGGAAATGTGCTCGCAAGCCAAAAAACACCGGTCGGCGTTCACCAATCATCCCCGAGGCACGGTGCATAGCAATCGTGGTTTTGCGTCCGCCGGGGGTAAGATTTCAACAGGAACTACACCCTAATGAAAATGTTGTTTCACTTCTCACACGTCTTACAAAAAAGGGGGCTTCTGCGGAGAACCCATGCGACCCAAAGTCGGGCGGCGTGCACGCTCCCCTGCCGCTTGAAGGAATGGGCACTTCTCGCGGCCGTGTTTGACTTGACGCTGCGTCTCGCGGGCGAGACGCAGAGACGGGCCCGAAGGTGCCGCTCACGGCCGTCTTCTCGTCCGCACCCCTCACCCTGACGACAGAAGCGAACGTCCGGCGAGCGCGAGGAAAGACGCGAAGCCGATCGAGTGAAACTCGACGTCGCGACCACGGCCACGTCGGAGGTAAACCTGGGCAACTTGCGCTGCCGTGGGCGCTTTGACGCTCGCTCCATTGCCACTGTGGACAATTGAGTAATGTTGCTCTCGCGCAAAAAAAATGTGTTATTGCCAATGGACGTACGTGCGTGTGTGTGCAAGTGTGGGGAGCGGTAGTGTTGCGGTTAGCGCTATGCTGCGCTACACACCCGGCGGCCCGAGTTCGATTCCCGCTCACAGGCAACACCGATGACGATTATCTGAATCGGTCCTGGGCCTCCCCTAGGTCCACTCAGCCTCAAACGAGTATCTGGGTGTGGTGTGTGAACATCGCCACGTGAGAGACAAAGGCGTCCGGGCATGGTGTTGGCCACCCACCCCCTCGAGCGACGTGCCGGCCTTCATAGGTGCTCGCTAAAAGCCCTTGCCCCAACAGTCTGTTAAGGTTACACGGGGGGTATTCGTCTTTGTGTGGAAGTGTCTTTGCGTTAAAGTGGGGAGTGGTCGTGCAGCGGTGAACGCGTTGCGCTTCGAACTCGGTGACCTAGGCTACATTCCCGTCAGCGGCGAATATCTGAAGCAGTCGTGGGATTCACAACTAGGTTAGCTCAGCCTTAAATGAGTACTGGGTACGATGTCCACTAGGCCACACAACCCCGTTGTGCACTGTGCCGGGGCTTATGAAATGCTTGCTAATAGCCCATGCCCCAACAGTCTGTTAAAGGCTGCGCATGAATGTATGTTCCTGTGTGAATGCATGCGAGATTTGAGGTGAAGTTATTGGGGGCGTATGGCACTTACTTAGCCCTGAATTGATTTGAATGAAATTGTAAAATATCAGCGTTCAGAAAATGTCAACGTATATACACTTGAAAGCTCTTTGTCTGTGTCAGAAGCGGACTTTAATCAGCAAACAGCAAGTGGGGGTGGGTGGTTTAATGTTTGCACTTTAATATTTCAATTGCACTGGCTGTGATTTGAGAGGTCGGACAGGCGGGACTGCGGATATTAAACATGCACTCGCTTTACCTGCAACGCAATGGGCAATCCATGATTTTGACTGTCTCCGTTACTTTTGTTTTAAATAGTCACAGCAATTCGGTCCGTTAATGAGCCGTGCGTTGTGGATTGCAACACTGCACCGTCTCCGTATACGTGCAACGGCAATGGGGCTCGTTACAATGAGGAAAAAAAGCAGACGTGCGATGGATGCGGAGTTGCCAAAATAATTCGCCGGGAAAAAAAAAAGCGTTCCCGGACCGCTCCTGGTTGAAGCACCGCACATCCGTGAGCGTTTTCACGTCTCCATTGTGACCCGCTCCCTCGCACCTTCACAGCGAAGCATTTATTCTCCACAGCCGTAATTGGCATGTGAACTCGTGTCGGCTGGTGGGGCGCCGATTCTTCGCCCCGTTGCGGCGAAATCTTTAAACGTTGGCTCGGACGCACTTATCCATGTTTCATATCGCCGGTGTTGTGTTTCATACTCGGTATCATTCTCACGCTTCGCCGGTTGTTGCAGGCAATATAGTCCTTAATTTCAAACGAAAAGGTCCCCGATTCTTGATACGTTTTAATCAACGTCCTCTTGTGGACCTTAACTATCATTATTCCTCACGGTGCCGACGTGACCCGACTGGTGAGATGTTTCAACATCGCACCTCAACCACCGAGTAAAAAAAAGAAAACACTGTTCCTGCTCAGTGATGTTTAAATATTAAAGTGCATTTTGAAAAAAAAACGTAATTTGTACATTGCCTCCTCAAAGGTATGTGTGTATATAGTGGGACATTATTTAACGCGGTTAATATTCAACCTGGTGCCATTTATAATGAAGGTGCATTTCACGTAGCAGTGATTTAGGACTGGCACAAGCAAGATGAAATTTATTCGTCAATTTATTTGTTTGGTCACACAAACACCACTTTATTTTAAAGTTGATGCTTATTTCTCATTACAATTTTCTGACGTTTCCCTGCAAGTGCGTGCGCGTGTGTGCGGTGCGTGCGTATTCTCCAAACCCCTTCCATAAGTCACAATCGTCCGCGATGTAATTTCAACACTTAGTAATCAACACCATCTATCTCCGGCCCATTTTCTGAGCTTATTTGGTTTTACCGTGTGACATTGCATTTTCACGCGAAAACCGCATTACCTTCGAAGTTTGCTTTAGGAACTGCAAAGAAAAGAAATTGTGTAGTCGCGCCGATCGGGTGGACATGTTTGTTTTTGGCTTGCTGTTAAAAAAAAAAACGTTATCTCGATTTATTGGTTCGCGCGGGCATCCATTCTTTTGATAAACAATTTTTGAGGACCCAAGTTACCCCACCCGTAATTGCACTTGTGGAAATGTCCCCTGGGAAGTACAACACGTTTAAAGAGTATATCATGTAAATACATTCTCTTGGTGGAAAGGGAAGGTGGGGTGGCGGTCTAAGAAAGAGGGTTTCTTTCCCACTTCCTTCTTGCGGTTTCATTTTCTCGACAATTGCTTTCTTTATTTTTGCTGTTGTTGTTGTTTTTAAATCAAAGCCATCGGCACGGACTAACGTTAATTACCGGACGAGGCAAATGGTGGCGGTGTTCATCAGCTTGGACGAAACCAGAAACGCCTTCCTCCCCCCCGCAACTCTCCACACCTCAACACCCAACTTTCTCTCCACAGCAGCAGCAGCAGCACCACCACCACCAAACAGTTCCCATCACCAAAGCTATCTTCCTCCTCATGATCATCCTCCCATAACCGCCACATCCCCAAAGCAATATCTCTTGTTTGCTTATTTCCCCCCAGCCACACGACACACACCACACTGCCCAACCCAATTCATTTAGAGTTTGTCAAAGATCGCAGCTTTGCACGAACCATCATATCTACATGATTTATTAATGTGGCTAAATGGGGTTTTTTTTTACTCCAGGATTGTGCTAATAAAATTAAAGTATCTGTGACCACAGAGAACAGGCTTAATGAAAACTGGGGCTCAGGCGACTGCCGGCTGAAAGAGCACGGGGCGCAGTGCGTGTGTGTGTTAACCCATTGTGTGTGTGCGTGTGTGTTAACCCATTGTCTGTTAAGGTTAACCCATTGTGTGTGTGTGTGGGTTCACCCATTGTGTGGGTTGACCCATTGTGTGCGTGTTAACCCATTATGTGTTTGGGTTAACCCATTGTGTGTGTGTGTGCGCGCGCGTTAACCCATTGTCTGTGTAGGTTGACCCATTGTGTGTGTGTTGACCCATTGTGTGTGTTAACCCATTGTGTGTGTGTGTGGGTTAACCCATTGTGTGGGTTGACACATTGTGTGTGTGTTAACCCATTGTGTGTTTTTGGGTTAACCCATTGTGTGCGATAGCTCATTTTGTGTGTGTTAACCCATTATGTGTGTGAACCCATTGTGTGTGTGTTAACCCATTGTGTGTGTTTGGGTTAACCCATTGTGTGCGTTAACTCATTGTGTGTGTGTTAACTCATTGTGTGTGTTAACCAATTGTGTGTGCGCGCGCATGTTAGCCCATTGTGTGTTTGTGTTAGCCTCATGTGTGTGGGCGTTAATCCATTGTGTGTGTGTTAACATATTGTGTGTTAACCTATTGTGTGTGGGTGTTAACCCATTGTGTGTGTGTTAACCCATTGTGTTCGTGTTAACCCATTGTCTGTGTGTTAACCTATTGTGTGTGGGCGTTAACCCATTGTGTGTGTTAACCTATTGTGTGTTAACCTATTGTGTGTGTTAACCCATTGTATGTGTGTTAACCGATTGTGTGTGTTAACCCATTGTGTGTGTGTTAACCCATTGTGTGTGTGTGTTAATCTATTGGGTGTGTGTTAACCCATTGTGTGTGTGTTAGTCCATTGCGTGTGTGTTAACATATTGTGTGTGTTAATCCATTGTGTGTGTGTTAACCTATTGTGTGTGTTAACCCATTGTTTGTGTTAACCCATTGTGTGTGTTAATCCATTGTGTGTGTTAACCCATTGTGTGTTATGATCCATTGCGTGTGTGTTAATCCATTGTGTGTGTGTTAACCCATTGTGTGTTATGATCCATTGCGTGTGTGTTAACATATTGTGTGTGTGCTAACCCATTGTGTGTGTTAACCTATTGTGTGTGTTAACCTATTGTTTGTGTTAACCGATTGTGTGTGTGCGTTAACCCATTGTATGTGTGTGTTAACCTATTGTATGTGTGTGTTAACCCATTGTCTGTGTTCACCTGTTGTGTGTGTTAACCTGTTGTGTGTTAACCTATTGTGTGTGTTAACCTATTGTGTGTTAACCTATTGCGTGTGTTAACCTATTGTGTGTGTTAAAATGTTGTGTGTTAACCTGTTGTGTGTGTTATCTTATTGTGTATGAGTTAACGTATTGTGTGTGAGTTAACCTATTGTGTGTGTGTGTGTTAACCTATTGTCACCCTTGACACCAATGTCCTTTGCCTTAACCGAAACGAAGAAAAATAAATAAATAAACAGGAAAAGGTGCAGCCCTGAAATTACCTGCTCATGCCACTGCTGGCAGAAGAACCTTCCCACGAGAGGGAGCTCTCGAGAGCCCCCGTAAGAGGGCGTTTTCGGCCTACTCTTCCATGCTGGCGAGACGTCTCAAAACAACGTCGAAGTGCCCACATTTTACCCCACCACACGTTTACCTGGCTGTGGTGTTCCGATTTATACCGCGGGTAGTGACAGAGGTGAACACAAATGTCCACTGTTATCCTTCATTACTTAACCAATGAACAACTCTTAAATCGCTCATCTGTCTGCGTGCGTAGGGAGCAGTCATGCAGCTGTCAGCAGAGCTGTGCTGTGAGTGATTCCCAGCAATGGAGAATGCCTTTGGCAAGGGGAGTTCTCAGCCCGTCGAGGGCATCTTCTAGGTCAGCTCAGCCTTAAATGAGAACATTGCGAAGATGAGCCAGGCACACCGCCGGCCTCACCATCCCCTCGTGTGCCAGCCCCAATAGATGTTCGCTAAAAGCACTTGTCCCAGCAGTCTACGAGGCAATGTGTACTGTGTTACATGTTCAC